ATCTTCCCCCCCTCCCATTTTATACTTTAACACGAGCACGCGTTTCTTCTGTTTCATGAGAGAATTAACCGTGGTTGACTGCTGTGTACTTACTAATGTAACAGGTTGCTCTGACGGAGAACGGAAACTGGCAAGAGATATCGCCGGAGGTGAGTACACGAACACGCGGTCGCATTTTTTCTCTTACCATTGAAACGAAATCTCGTGACGAATTAAATTAAAAACCAGATGTCGTTTGTGCCATGTGGAAGATTCTTAAGTGCCGCCTTTTTCGTTTCTTCCAGCATGGAACGAAGGATGTCAGTGCTGCCTCGGGACCAGAAAGCACACCCAATTCCTCCAATTCGGAAGGTATGGCTCTCGTAGCTCATAAAAATTGAACCGTTGCCAATATCGCATGTCGAAGTAATTATTAATTATCAATTAAGATTGGTTTAAAATTAAGTTAATAAATTAATTAAGTTAATAAATAAATTAATTAATTAAGTTAATAAATAAATAAATTAATTAAGTTAATAAATAAATTAATTAATTAAGTTAATAAATTAATGATTTAATTGTCAACTCTCTTTCATTGTATTAACACATTAAGGGCAGGAGTCGTAGTACTACGATTTAGCTCGACTGCGGCTTAAAGGCGGGAGTCGTAATACAATTTAGCTCGACTGTACCTTAAAGTTTTTATGATCACACAAAATATCGCCCGCCGTTAATGTGTTAAGATGTGAAATTCTAATTGTTAAACCTCTTCATTATATCAAGATGTTGAATTTTAATTGTCAGATCCCTCTTCGTTGTTTTAAGAGATTAAATCTTAATTGTTAATCAACGATGAATATTGTGATAAAAGTATGATTATGCGTGTGAATTCACGTATGAGGCGTATACTTTTCAAATGTCACACACGCAACGACAGCTGCGTGAAAAAAAAAGCTGAACTACTCAGCCGGGTAGCTTGAATTATGACAAACGGCCATTTCATTTGCAAACACCCGAATATTTTCGCGCCGATATTGATTATGCAAGATCTGATAGACATCGTCTCGATATTCTTTCACAGAGAGAGGAAGGACGCGACGAAAACGGCGTGATTTCTTCGGTACTATCAAGAAGAGATTAAGCCGATCTAAGACGAGAAGTAAATCGGTGGGTCCCGAAGATGACATTAACCACGAGGACGCACATTCGAGATCCATTTCCGCCGATAGAGCCCGCGATCCTGGATCCGGTAAGATTTTCTGCGATATCAGTTTTTGCACTTTTCTTCTTTGTTATAAATTAATTGATGTTAACTGGCAACTGGTTCGCGTGTAATTTTTGTCATAAATAGCGAATTTTTAATACGTTGAATGCCGTGATGATGTCAACACTATGATACTACCATATTCGATTAAATTGGGCCGGATAAATCTTGTTTACTATCATTCAAAGTGCTACCACATATTAAAATTATCAATTATGCGAAAAATATCAAAAAATGAATAATCGAGAAATGAATGAAATCAGATCACCAGCATGATGTAGGTTAGATTAGGTTATGGCGCGATTCTAGGAAGGAAGCATACCTTCTGTGTATAGTTTTGCCTGAAACTTTTCTGGATCCATATTTAGTGCGGAATCCACGATACGCCTCAGTATAGTTTTTGTCTCTGCTGTAGAAGTAATCGGTAAGAAACACTCTTTCTTCGTTGTTAAGAGCAGTCATTCTGATACCGGCTTGATACATCAGCTTGGTACAACCGGCTTAAATGAAATTGACAGGCCTCAAGTACCGGAACCTAATCACCTAATAAGTAAATTGATAGTAGACTGCGTGCAGATTGGCAGTAAATTTAATCAGAATCCCACACCAAAACTATGATCATCTGTGTCCACATTCAGCTCGTGTTTTGACGACAGAGCCTGCTAACGAACAATGCGAGCAGATTGGCAGCAGAAACTGCGCAGAGTCTGCCCGCAGCAAGATATGCTCGGTTTTTGCCACCAATCTGTTGTCAGATCGCTATAGGCTTTGCTCGGTTTCTGTCACCAATCTGCTCGTATTGCCTGTCAACAGGCTCTGCTGCATCTCTGGCAGCAGTTTGGCAACATAATGTGATAGAACAGAACCTGTGTTAGATTTGTTGCCTTTCTGCCACCAAAAGTTTGTAGGAGGCTCTACTCCGAAATCGGTTTGCACAGGTTTGGCTATTTGGTAACATAAAAATTACTTTCGCGCAATATGAAACATGATTTAGAAATCTATACATGTCGTACATCCGATATATTATTGTGTCGACTGGGATGGCAGTCAACGTATTAATAATTGCGTTTAATATCTTCTCGAGGCCCAATCAATCAATCACGTTCCTTGTCAAACACGAGAAAAAGATCTACCGATCAGATCGTAAATTAATATCTTTAGACTTATCATCTTTCCCACGTACTGTACTCACTTGTGCACACTCTGTCTTGCTCGCATATGTGTTACTCTCACGGTACTCGATCTCGGTAAGTGTCCTCGCAAGGTAGAACGTAGTGCGAAAGCTTCGCTTCTGAGTGACAGATGCAACCAGTGCGAAAATATATTTGAAGAATTCTCGGCAATCTGTTTTACCGTAGTTTTTTTCTCACAAAATTTCTCATATTAAATTTTCCTCCGTCCCGTGAGATCCGCCGCTGTTTGAACATTGTTAACGGAATTTAATCTCTTTTAATTGTTGCTTAGAAAGTTACAGAAACAACATACAAACACATATACATTTATACAATAATGTAATGCTTTCTCAACATTTTTGGGGACAATAATAATTGTAAAAAATTAAATTCTGCTCTCAACGCCCAACAAGCGTCATGACCTGTTTATTTTTCTTTTGAATTTGAAAGTTTAGCAATAGGAGGTCACGAAGCGGTGCCCATCGATTTCAATAATATTGTTTGTGTGGATGAGCCTTAGTATGAATCTTTATTGAACGAAAGGAGAAAGCGCAACTCTCAAACATTTCGAGAAAATCGAAATTAAAGAATCATACCATCTCGCGACCTCCCCTTGTAAGAGCTTTCAATAATCATCAATCACTTTTACCAAGCATTTCGTATCTTTGATGAAGGTTGTGAATCATTGGTTATCTATCGAATTTATAAAATCGTAAATGAATATGTCTTCGCAATTTTTCATTAGGTATGGCGAATATAAATTAACAAACCTCATTTTTTATCTACATCTTACATCGAGTTAGAATCGAACGTATATTTAATTAATTCTCTCCATTTTTGCGCTTCATCTTTCTTTCTACTGCGTTTCTTCGTTTCTTGACGCATCTAATGCAAACCGATTCTACTTCGTAGTGCATTTGTCGGTGCCAGAACAATCGAGACGATCGAGTCTAAGTGAAGCTTCAGGTATCAGCGGTACCTCCACGAGGACGTACGTCAACGAAGCTTCCACTCTCGTCCTTGAGACTTTGGAGAACGGCATAAAGAAGTAAGTGATTCCGTACGTGAGTGATTCCACCTGTAACTTTCATATTCCGCATATTTGTTTTTGCTCGAAATATAGCGCGCCTTTATGCAGGATGTTTCAGAAATAAGTGACCAAATATTAAGAACAAATTCTATTTATCTTAACTCTACTGTTCCGTTTGAACCGAATTCATTGTTACTTTCCCGTTTTTATGTGTACATTTTTATGTGATTTTATGTGATTAGAGTGAGCGTTCTGGCTCATTTTATAATTGTTTTTTATAACTCATGAACTTTAATTTGAAAATAAGCTACGAAACAAAGTCACAGTGATGTTGATGCGAAGCACACTTCGCTATGGAAAGAAATCATCTCTAGCAATTTTTTTTTGTAACTTGAGCAAAAACGAAATGTTCTTGCTCAAATTGGTCATAAACGAAAAGTATTCGAAAAGAAGTTTCTGGACCTATGTTTATATGATTTCTTTTCATTCTTACAATGAATACAATGTGTTCTGAAAATGTGGCTACTTATTGTTGAAAGATTTTGTTTATTTACATGCAGATAAAACACATTCATTCCGATTTCAGACACTACCTCGTACCACTTTCCCTCGCGCAAAAGAGCAAATGGAGGAAAAAGGGCACAAAGCTGCACATATTCAACGATCACACGTTCATTGCCAAACATATGTCTGGGTGAGTTACAGCATTGTCCGCATGCGGAATAGAAATTGTCCAAATAATTCATCTAACCTTTAGAAGCATAGTGGGAAGTATATTTTCCAACTTTTTTCTTTCAAATTTTTATCAATAAACTTTTCATTGCTATTTTTGACTGTTCTTTTTTATTTTTCTAATATTTTAGGAGTTCGTGAATGTAAAATATCGTCGAAATACACATTTCGTTAATTGCAAAAAATGTTATAAATAACTAAATTATGAAAAATGCCCGTTTTTTCAGTGAAACAGTCAGACATTTTCCAGCGACTTTTACCAAATTTAGGTGTTAAAACTTACATATATTTGGGTATTTTGAGGTCACTCATTACGAATTTAATGTCAGAATTAAAAGATTTTCAAAATTAAAGATAGCGGTCAAATATGGCGGACTGAAATTGCAGCAAATCAAGCAATTCTCTTCAAATGTGGTATCCAGGGGGTTTTTGGGTCGCTGATTACGAATCTGATATTAGAATTAGATTTTCAAAATCCAAAATGGCGATTTAATATGGCGGACTGAAATTCCAGCGAGTCAAGCAAATCTCTTCAAATGTGATATATATAGAGGATTTTCGGGTTGCTGACTATGAAACTGGGGTCGAAATTGAAAAATTACAAAATTCGAAATGTTGAATATAAAATAGTAGACCAAACATGTAAAAATTCAGTGTTTATGGCTTTCAAAGCTTCCGAATATAAATTATGAAATACGATATTGCGAAAACGAACTAAAGGGATTGAAATGATATAATCTATATCATAGACGATAATCTGGCTTATACCAAATTTGAAGCAATCTGGTTGATTCGCTGCAATTTTGGTACTCCATATTAGATCCGCCATCTAAGATTTTAAAATCTTTCCAATTTTGACCTCACATTCGTGATCAGCAACCTCAAAAACCCCCAGGTATCAAATTTGATGAAAAATAAGCGGGAAGAAAAATGTGTGCTTCAAAGGGTTAAATAAAAGAAAAGATAAAGAACAACAGAAGCATTAAGCAATAAAAAAGTTATATATCCGCGTAATCGCACATCAATATCAGGAGAATACTGATAAAGTTAAGAAAGTTTGTGAGATCAATTTGAAATGATGCGTTTTCGTTTCAAGAGGAACGGTCTGTGAGGTGTGCAAGAGGACCCTCGCGCGAAGACTCGGCAAACAAGGCTACGAGTGTAGAGATTGTCAAATAAAATGTCACAAGCACTGTCATGTGAAAGTCGACATAACGTGCCCCACGTCTACTATTCAGAGCATCGAGCTGTAAGTATCCAGTGGAATGTCGACTGAATTCTTTAACTCCAATTTTTTTTTAATCTAACAAGGAAATCTACAATAGTATCTCCCTCTGATTTTAATAAACCTTGAATATGTTGTATGTCAAAATAAGAGACATATTTTTTTATAAAAGCTCACACGTTAGAGGGTAAAATATGCTGAAAAATTGGCTTTTACAATTTCTAAGTGCAGAAAAAGTGAGAGATAGAAAGACGTGTTTCAAATAAAAGTTTCATAATCATAAAGATGCTTTACATGACAATATTTGTATGTCCTATAAAAATGTTGATTTTAAAAATACGCCATATAATATTATTTTTTTAGAAATTTGAATCCTTTCAATGACCAAAATAAATATTACTTCACGCTAATTTTAATTATATGATATTAACGTTATATTCCAAAAAAATCGTTGTTTGAAAATTGGCTAAAAGTTTATCTAACGAAATATGTACTTCTTATTTTGACTTAATATATTCGAAACATATGAGATAAGCAAAAAGAAGACTATTGTGGATTCCTTTGCAAGTAGAATCTTCCAAGTTCTAATGAAAAGTCTCGTTTCCCGAGATTTTCGTCTCGTCTCAGGATCATCGTTAGAACTTGAAGTCGCGACACCCGAAATTAATTTATCACTATGTCCTTATATTTATCTCTATTCGAAGAGATGTGTTTGAACACTTCCTAATGTTATTTTTCTAATCCTTTTTGCGTAAGGTCCCTACTGCCAGTACTGAGCGAATAGGATAGGTAAGATCAGAACAGTGTTGTGAAATTTTGCTAGTGATGAATATTTTTTGCTAGTGTGATATATCGCTAGTGGTTAATCGCGCATGAGAAAATATCCCGGTAAATTATGATCGATATACGTCCATGCGATTTATGGCGTACATATACATATATATATATATATATATATAAATATACGTACACCGGGTGATTTGCTTACGAAAATACATTAATCCTCGTTTGCTCGCATTACTCATCCAAACTGTTTGCCCCATCTGCGCATTACCGAAATTGCCGATTATGTTTGGAGATATATATCGACGAAGCATGATAGAATATATATATATATATATATATATATATACTCGTCATGCGTGCGTGTGTATGACTGCTTATGTGCGTGCAATATTGGCATTTCATTCACGTTTCATTCGTAACTAATATCTAACCAATGTCGAGCCAATGTAACGTCAATGAAATGTGCTATTAAGGAACTTGAGTCGATTAGATCCGATGATGTCAATTCAATTATATTAAGAGTTTTTACTCCAATTATGCGTGGCACTGTTGACCAATTTTATTGATACAATGCAATTTTATCATAAATAGCATTTTTTTCCATTTTTGTAACATCGCAGATCGAGCTCGCAGAAATTAAGCCGGTATCGATTCTCGCTTTATCCTCTTTATTCACCTCCTACGACATTCAAATTTGCCGAAAGTACTGGAGGGAACTGTCTCACATGTTGATATTTATTATTTTTAGGACGTACATGAAGATTCCTCAGCTCGAACGAAAGCCTTCGACGCGTCGCCTCTGCTGACGATAACGATTATTGCATCGCGCGAAACTCGATACGCCATACGACTACTTATTTGCGACATCGGACGCTGCACGACAAATTGATAAGAACGATCGCAACGACACGATCTTTATTCGTGAAATAGATAGATAGATAGATAGAGAGAGAGAGAGAGAGAGAGAAAAAGAGAGAGAGAAAGAGAGAGAGAGAGAGAGAGAGAGAGAGAGAGAAAAGCATGTTTGATACGCTTCAGTTTCTTTTAAGCGCTCATCACGCTCATCACTTCGTCATTGGCCTACAAATTTCTTCCACTTACGAAACGAAGGGACATCTCTTGTTCACGCGCGAGAGGAATTTTTGCATTTTCACGAGCGCACAATTTCGATGTTCCAACGAAAGAAGCTCACAATACACGTGAGCATTGATGAGACCTTCGGGGCGTCACTTGGAAACACTCACCGTCGCACCGACGTCATTTCCTCATGATAAAGGTAGCGGATGTAGAGCGAAAGAGAAAAAAAGAAAAGAAAAAAAGAAATTTTCGTCGATCTTTCACAAAGAGTTATTGCGCCTTCCACTGAGTAGTAACGAATAAACTGAGATCGTAGTCGAAATAGCGAACACGCGTTGTCTTGCAAAATGAAGATCTCAAAATTCGGAGAATGTGTTACGAATTTCGGAAAGGTCTGACCTCAAAATCCGAATATCGAATAGATTTTCCGGAATGTAACTTTTTAGAAATGTTGATGATGTATAATTATCGCGAAAAGTTTTAACTATTTAAGTTAGCTAGCTAACTATTTGAGGCGCGCAATAGTGCCCATTAATGTCCGTCCCATAAGTGGCACGCGCGCATTCTTGCGTGCAGAAAGAACTTATCTGATTTCTTTGCTGAAAATGTATTACCCAAACTATAAAATCATTGATTTTATGTTTTCACGACATCAAGGAATACGAATTTTATGTCAAAATTATATAATTTCCAATCCCCGATATACTGTTTTCTGCTTAACCTTTAGAAACGCGATGGGAAGTATACTCCCAACTTTCTTTCTTTCAGATTTTTATTGATGAAATTTTCATTGCTATATTTGGAGTGTTTCCTTTTTTTTTTTTTCTAGTATCTTAGGGATAGGTGTCATCCCTATAATATTTCAGAATAGTTGTAATTTGTGAAATTGTGTGTCGGGTATTCGGATTTTGGGACTTTTTTTTGAAAAAAATTGTCTCATTTCACGAATTTTGATGCTTTTTTTCTCGAGACAGTGCAGACGTGCGCCATCGAAGTTTCGCGAAATGCGCTGTAACGCATCCATGGAAAGTTAGAAGAGGATATGTCCGCATAATTTTTATCATCGTCTAAGATTTCCTAATAATCGTGACGTAGCTCGCGTGACGTAGTCGTCGTCACCGTTAAAACAAAAGCACGACGGTTGCTCGCGTTACTGAGAAAAGTGATTTGTTTTCGTCGATCTCGAAGAAGATTGCGACGAATCGACTTCACTCGCTCTGCATGCTCGATTAAAGGAGCCAAAGACGCAACAGCGCAGACAGACACCGCCGAAATGGTTACTAAGAATAACGTGATCGATGACACTAACGATATATTAATAATGATAGAAAGCGTTAATTTCACACGACACAATTGTTACGATTGATTATAAATATTCAAGAGGTAATATTAGCTGTATGATAATATGACAACAGCGGAAAGTATATACATGAACGCACTAAAAAATCATCGCAGTCGAATTGTCGTAATCGTCGTTCATTTAAATTCTACGTTTTCGTTTGAAACACACACGCACACACATGTGAAAAAAACACCGTTGTATCAGAGTTGGGCGATACGATATCGATATATAGGGAAATAAGGATTTCTCCCCGCAGTGTGGAGGAAAACCTTATTTTCCCGAGGGCAAAACTTTATTCCCCTATGTATCGATATTGAATCGTTTCCAACTCTATGTTGTATCAATGGAAAACTTGTTAACGTGCCATAATCGGAATAAATTCCTTCCATTCGATAACAATATTGTGGAAACTAATATGATAAAAAAGATGTACTTTTGTTAAAATCATCATGTTAAATGTTTTATATTGAATTCTCAACATAACCGTTAATTTAATATCGTGAATGTGCTATTTGTAGATTTTGTAGATTTTGTACATTTGGGCGATACAATATTAATACAATATCGATACATAAGGAAATAAGAATTTCTCCCAGAAAAAAAGGATAAGGAAAAATAAGATTTTCCCCCGCAATTTGTGGAGGAAAATCTTATTTTTCTAGGAGAAAACCTTATTGCCCTTATGTATCGATACTGTATCGATATTTTATCGCTCAACTCTAACGCTAACATGATATTTTAGAATTATTTTTCTTCAGTAACAGTAGCTATCTGTTAATTTTTGACATATTATTTGTGTTACTTCTCAACATATTTCATCTTGTGTTAAATTAACGCAAAAATCTGAGCGAGCCTTTCGAGACACGTGAAATCTATTCAATTTAACGCAAAATTTTGAAAATTGTGAATACTCAAGTTATTTACACATTACGGGCCATTAATTTTTTAATTTTTCTCCCAAAATTGGGTGAAATTGGAAAATAGGCGAAAAGCTTAAAACGGACTTCAATTTTAATTAGTTAAAATACGTAAAAATATATACACGGTCTGTAATACGTTAATATGATTTATGATATATCAATTTAAATAATATTATTATTGAATCAAGATATACTCGAATTTTTACATTTATCGATAAAAAGATCAACTTTTGTTAAAATCAATCATCATGTAAAATGTTTTATATTGAATTCTCAACATAGCCGTATGTTAATTTAACATCGTGAATGTGCTATTTGTAGATTTGGGCGATACACTATTAATACAATATCGATACATAGGGAAATAAAGATTTCTTCCAGAAAATGGGTTTTCCCCCGCAATTTGTGGAGGAAAATCTTATTTTTCTAAGGGAAAACTTTATTTCCTTTATATATCGATACTGTATCGATACAGTATCACCCAACTCTAACGCTAACAAGTCATTTTAAAATTATTTTTGTTTACTTTTATCTTTCATTCTAATTACGGTACTGTTGACCGATGCTATTGATGCAACATTTCCTTTTCCCACGCGAACAACACATATATGCATACACACATGCGCCTTACATAACTGTGTACCTGTATAGTTTCGCTTGAAATACAAATGCGTCTAGTCACATGTTATCGAAAGACGACAAAAGGCTGTTTTACTTTCGTTATTGCGTCGTTATTGCGTATCGTTACTACGATATGACAGTTGCGTGAGACGATTCATACGAGAGCGCAAGGAATTCTATTGAAATCACCCACACACGCGCGTGCGCGTACGCACATATACATACACAAATACACACACAGTGGATGCACGGACGAATGGGAACGCTGAATATCGAGATATTCGGTGATATATATTATGATATTCGCGGCGCAGTTCGATTGATGATTTCGGAAATCTTTTTCGGCTTAAAGGAACTTCGTGTGAATCCACCAATGATGATGGTTCGTCTCTATGTATAATGATTATATAAAGAGGACAAAATTGTGAATGATTATTTATATAGCGAAATATGAATAATAATATATTTATATTTACGAGTCATGATATATATATATATATATATNTCGAAATACGAAGTGTTCGAAGGAAGTGCTACTCAGTGTATTTATGAGATTATCGAATACAATCGCGAAATGCGTCATTGTACTAATACGAAAAATAAAAAGAAAAAGACGCAAGAATGTAATTGCAAAAATGTATTCGCATCGACATACATGGGATATTTGAACGGCGTATGTAGTAGACTAGAGTTGAGCGAAACAGTACCATCGATACATAAATAAATAAAGATTTCTCCCAGAAAAATAAGGGTTTTCCCCGCAATTTGTGGAGGAAAACCTTATTTTTTGGAGGGAAAATCCTATTTCTCTTAGTATCGATACTGTATCAATACTGTATCGCTTAGCTCTATAGTAGACACGGCGTTATGTATGCCTTACTATTATAATTACAGTTACTAGAGTTTGACGATACTGTATCGATGTATAGGGAAATAGGGGTTTCTCCCAGAAAAATGGGGTTTCCCTCGCAATCTGTGGAGGAAAACCTTATTTTTATGGGGAAAACCTTATTTCCTATATCGATACTGTATCGATACTGTATTACCCAATAGAGTCGAGCGATACAGTATCGATACTGTATTGTCCAACTCTATCGCCCAACTCGAACAGTTACCCAGATAACAAGATAACGTCAAATGACGTCTTAATAACGTTTTAATCACGTCTTCAATGTCAGTAAGACGTCATGTGACGTCATCTTGTTAACTAGATATTTATGCGATTTTCGACCTTATACGAGTTTGAAAAATTCGGAATGACGATAAAAATCAAATAAATTTAATTTAAGTTATATTTTATTTTTTCAATACAATCCCCTCGAAGCTCAACACACATTTGATCCAATGTTTCTCCTACTTCTCGATTTCTTCCTGGAAGTGACTTTCTCCGAGATTTTCGAAATAATCGTTTACAGCGTCGTTATCAGTTTGTCATTCGACCGAAATTTCTTTCCAGGAATGTTTCGAATTTAGGGGACAGGTGGGGGAGTCTGTGGGAGGCGAATCAGGCGAATAAAGATGGATGCGGAAGGACTTCAAATTTCAATTCTGTCAATTTTTGCTTAGGGATTGTACTTGGACGAGCGGATGCATTGTCGTGGTGAAACAACACTTTTTCTCGACTATCCTCGGGCGTTTTTCCTGAATTGCTGCTTTCAGTTCATCCAAAAATATTGTGCAGTATTGGCCAATAACAGTTTTTTCCTTTTCAAGATAATCAATTAGCAAAATTCCTCTGGCATCCCAAAACACCAATTTTGTTGTCACTTTCTCAGCTGATTGAATGTTCTTTGCCTTCTTCGAGACCGATTAACCGTGTCCGATCCACTGTTTTGATTACATTTTTTTTTTCTGGTGTGTAATGGTGATATATATATCTTGCAACACATTGCCTGCATTTAGCAGAGAAATTAGCTCAGTGAGTGCTTAATGACTATTGATTCCTGATTAGTGCATTCTCTTAGATTTATCTAGAAGATTCTGAAAGAACACTCCAATCATGCCAATCAGATGATAATCAAGAAAGATTCATTGAGCTTCTTTTTCTGTTGAACGCAGTCATTAATGTCTCATTATATATATCGACATAGTAAATTCTTTCAAAAGTGCTGCTTTAGTTCGTCGCAAACAGCACAGTTCCAGCACGAGCTGATATTGTGGCCGAATATGTTCGAAGTAGCCAAAGCATGGCTGTCCGAGGTGTGCCGTAAGTGTGCTCTTAACTGGTTAATTAGACCTTCCTTTCGTAGAACGCTTCGTCCAGTGTATCCATATGTCGATGAATATTTAGATTCTTGTCGACTGTTTCGTTTGTTCACACTTTCGGTACACTATAGTCGGTGTCGTACCATTTTTCTAGACAGAAAATCACACGATTGTCAATCTCACATATAAGATTGAAAATCACATAAATATCTTTAATTATAATGATAAGGCTATAATAATTCGAATTATGATGGATTTTACTTTTATATGTGTGTGTGTGTGTATGTGTGTGTAAAGCTGGAAATTGTGTAATTTACAATTCAGGGAATAGTAACAGCATACATAACGACAATGAAACGAAATTAAAACGGGGGATATCTTTTCCATATACCAAGCAACGTGTAGCAATACATCGAAGAGAAACCGCCAAGATCTTGCGATAAACTATATAGTCAATAAATTATATATATATAATTTAAGTACATATACATATATTATATATATAAAATTTAAGTATATATATATTTACTTCGACTTCTTTATATATCTCGCTATTGCTGGACGAATATTATCGGAGTACAAAACGCAATCAAAAGTGTAAGCGGAGAATTAACGTCGGAACTTAGGCGCATAAACGACGTATCGATATAAGCGATATATTTACGCGTAAAAACGATTTGTTGGAAGCGACACCGATTTTTTGCGAAGAAGTCTGACGAGAGTAGAAGTAGTAACGAGAAACACTTTCCCTTCTCTCTCTCTCTCTCTCTCTCTCTCTCTCTCTCTCTCTCTCTTTCTCGTTCCGCATTTCCTCACCTGCATTCTGCAAAACGTATGAGCAGCTTCACGATAACGACTTACTCTGATCATACCGTGTATACATATATATATCGTGTATACATATATATATATATTTTATTATTTAGTCATTAGAAGAAAGGTTGCAATATTTTTTGTTTAACGAATCTCGCAACGCATCTAATAGAAGAAAATTTGTTTCTTCGGAACAAATCTTTTAATTCGGAATAGTAATGTTCGGAAGATAAATTTTTTTACGGAGAAATCTCTGGGATGCGTTCTGAAACCTATCGAGGTAAAAAATATTACAACCTTTCTTCACTTGTAAACCTATTCCGTTACTTTTAACGACACTTTCATAAAAAGTTGCAAAATAGGTTTATCGACTGTACAATTAATCAAACCGTTAAAGCCCGTATCAAATTAGATATCAGAGTCTGTAGACTGCGAATTTTGGAGCCGAACTAACCGGAAGAAAGCGACCCGAGATCATAGTTCGTTGATCAGTCGAATTCGAATCTTTAATCCTTGATCTCCGGTATTCTGATGTAAACTTGATAAATCTCACTAGTCTCGCAATCATCACCGAATCAATTAGGTGTTAATAGCGGAAAACCACCGTTACAAACGCGTGTGTACGCGCGCATATCCGTCGCACCCATTGAATGCGCTGAAACGTTGAAACATAACATTGTGAGAAACATGGTGAAAATCGAGCAACGTTAGATAACAATTTTTTCTGCATATATGTACGCATACTGGCTGTGAAAATCACTATTAGGAACGGATCGAAGGCCACAAAGTGAAAAAACGCGCGTAGACTACATTCACGACTTTGAAGAGGGAGGTTTTGAAGCGGAAGGTGGCGGATTAAACTCATACAAATTAGATCAACGTAAATTTTCCGCATGATGACTCGTATACTTATATACTCATGTAGGCCTCTATATATCTCAAGTAGTATTACAACCAGGGACCCGGACCGAATGAAAATATCGTCCCAGTTCCGGTTCCGGTCCACTAAAATATTTAGTAAAGGTTTCCGGTTTCGGTTTCGGTCTTCTGGACAATGAAAGTACCGGCAAACCATTTAAATTACAGCTTCTTTCGGTTCTAGTTCTTTAAACTTATATCCTTATTAAAATTTTAATTGAATTAAATATATATATACCGTTAGAGTAACAATTTAAAAGTTGTACAATTCAGGATGATTGTCTTTCTATTTATCCCAAAATTGTAATATATTATTTCTTCTTCTGTTCAACATCGTATACTTGATGTTTATTTGTCACAATAATTAGTTAGTGTTCTGCTTTTTCGTGAGAACTAGAATTTTATTATGAAATGAAAAAAATAATTACTTAAAATCACAGAATAAAAACCGAAATAGTGAACCGAAAAGAACCATAAACCGAAAGAAACGTAACGGTTCCGATTTTGGTACCGGTTCTGTAGACTTTATAAAATTTCGGCACGATTTACGATTCCGGTCCGACAAAAATACCAGTTTCCACACGGTTTTCGGTTCCTGGTGTATACGTACATCATCGTGCAGAAAATTTCAATAATTTCTTTGTGCCTTGGAGAGTTATATCCCTCGGTCCTTCAAGATCCGTCTCTCTTCCTCTACAAATCCGCCCAATCCGCCCAAGTTTATCATCAATGAGTCGGGGAAGATCCACGATCGACCGGCCGGGTTAATGATTTCTGAAGTTCCTTTAACTCTTTCATCGCGAGTCGACGTCGTTGTCAATTTTTACACGAACGGAAACGGCGTCGTATTCTTCAAGAGCACAGTTTTTTTTACGTAATCGCGCGAAAGTATTACGATACGATGTATCCTGCGAAGCGGCTTATTTTTAAGATATCAACTTACGCGCGACGGACGATTATTTTTTTCTTCCTTAAGCCTGTTCTACGATACGTTGTATATCGTTCTCGGATATCGGAACGCAGCCGATAGTCCAATAAGAGAATTTATTTTTCGAAAGTTAGTTCTCTTCATTGGCCCATCGACTGCGTTCCGACATCCGACAACGACGTATTATAAAACAGGCTTTATTCGCTTTACGTCACACGCACACACACACATATTTTTCTTCCTTATCCCGTTCTCCTCTCCTCTTCCTTTCTACTCCCACTGTTCATACGTTGAAAAAAAGATCGCGAATTACGTTTTATCGTAATTCATCGAAATGTCAAAGCAATTACGAAGTGTTAGCGCCGAAAGGCGCATTAGCGATGAAGATTGTGCCTATAATAAATGTTATTACATAATAATGTTATACACATGTTTTACAGAAAGTCTATTTATGGACGGTATTTCCAATTGTTCTGCTAAAAAAAGATGCTTCTCGATCCAACATCGATCGCACATCTCTCTATATGTACCTATAATATGTAAAGAGATCATGACGATGTCGATTATTACGCATTGCTGATTTATAATAATAATATATAACATATAAAAAATGATGATAATAACAATACGATTATATACATATACACACATATATATATATATATATATATATATATATATATATATATAATGTTATAATTAATTATCCTAACTATGAGGCAAATGATGATAGCAACGATAACGGTAAAATGTAATATTATAGAAAATAATATATATTGATCCTACAATGTTATCTCTCTCTTTCTCTCTCTCTCTCTCTCTCTCTCTTTCTCTTGTCTTCCTATTTATTAAAAAGATTAATTGAAGATTATAGAAGTTCTTCGATCAAAATGTATAGATATTTTATGCATTAATTTTCGTCGACTATTATGAGTTACAACACATCGCTGTCCCTCCCCCATCCTTCCCCTTAGAAAAACCAGATGGGAATCTATTCAAGAAATCTGTAATATGGAATTCCACAGTTATTCTTAGGGATGCTACTTTATCTTCAGGCCAAGCCTTTAGGTGGCAAAGCCTTCAAGGACAAAAGGGACCGTGTTGAGGATCAACAGCTTACAGGGCGTCCTTCGACTTCAAAAACTGAGGACAATGTGGCTCGTGTCAAGGCTGTTCTGGATAAGGACCGACGCTTTAATGTGAGATTAATTGTAGAGGAAGTAGGACCACCGGTGGATCCTTCACCACGACAATGCGCCAAGTCACACATCATTGGCTGCGGGAGAATTTTTAATTCAAAAGAATATTCCAACGCTTCCCCACCCACCATACAGCCTTGACTTAGTTCCATGCGATTTTTTTTTTATTTCCCAAGCTCAAAACCCACCTCGAAGGATATCATTTTGGGACAGTTGAAAACGTCCAGTCAGCTGCGATGAACAACATTTCATGTAAAAACTTCCGGCTTTGAACAACATTTCATGTAAAAACTTCCTCCATTGCTATGAAGAGTGGCAGTAACACTGGAATTGCTATATTCGTATATACAAGGAACCTATTTTGGAGGAGATTAACTGTAATTGAATGTATTATTAATAAAACTTTTTTTTTCAATTATTTTGTAACGGCACATTAGCATCGTCACCCTCACCCGTCGGGTCGCTCACCGGCGCTTTGCGCCATCCTAAACGACACGACACGCACGTGACGCGCTTCCACCAGGAGCGTGATCACGTGCGTGTCAATAAACATAAACAAACAGCCTCCGTCGGATATATAATCCGACCGGCGGAGGCCACAGGAGCGACACGTTCGCAGGCTGCTCCGGATCCCGTCCTCCATTGCCGAGGAACCGAGGCGGTGTGTTCGCCGCCCCAGCTGCGTGTTCGCAGCCGCACTCGGAATCCTTCCTTTTGCCGAGGAACGGAAACGGTGTATTCGCAGTCCCAACTGCGTGTTCGCACCCACACTCACCATTTTACGTGTATTTAACATGCGAAAATGCGATATAATTTATAAATATAATTTTAATTTTCAGTCTTAATTTTCTGGTATTAAAGCGTGTATAAGCGACTTACGCGTGTAGCGGGCGTTTTTTCGTGAATTTCGCGGGAGTTTGGTATTCAGTAAAATCACAATAAACCGATAACTACTTCGTTTTTCTCAACGAAACTTTTTTTTATTTCACATTTAAATATATGCTCTACGATTAAAAAAACGACATTTTTTTTTGAATAAGTAAATATAGAATAGTGAACTAAAATGAAAGGAAAATAGACAATTTTTAATTTTACTATTTATTCAAAAATATTTTTTCATAACAAGTAAAAATAGCCAAATGTCATTTTATCAATGTTGAATCAATAATCAAAAAAAAAAAAACAAGCTTCAAATTTACAAAACACGACTTGTACGTTCTGAAGCTATCGAACCAAGTAACTCGACAAACTAAACTTCTAAAAAGGAACAATGGAAATCGTTGCCTAGCAACACAAACACAAACACCGTACACACACTTACAATGCCCATCGTATTTATACGATACCCGCTCTCCACACAAATCTACTAAATACGTACTTTTACGTGACTCGCGCTCTAGTGACAGACTGCAAAAAAACGTAAAACTACGTTTCCCGCATGCAATATGTTAATAACAGACGTTAAATATTTGGTAGCAATTATTATTTTCTTTAGTTAGTTCAACTCTGAATAAAAGTTGTTCATACTGCGGGCCAATTAAATACTTGGTAATCAATATCAAATTTTACAACAGTTATAAATATTCCGTCAAAATCTTTAACTAAGTGCATTCAGTAAGTATTACCGGTCTTTCTTTTTCAATGTACAAACAATTCTCACTTTATCGAAACAAATTAAGTTCGCCTTCGAATGTCTGCCGAGAAGACTCTGTACATTCTATGCGCTCATTTCTGCGCCCGTTTTATCAGCGTTCCCTCGCGGGATATCGCGGGTTGACGCGCGACGAAGCGTATCCTAGCGCGTCCTGCCGGCTGAAAAATTCCACCTCCACATCATCGTAGTAGAATCGATCATCGCCGAGCACGCGACGGAATTATTACATGGTCGGTGTTTCCACGAGCCATTCACCTCGACTCGGCGGCAAAATCAATGAAACAAAAGCGAGGCGGCATATGGCAACCGCGTCGGGGGAAGGGGGAAGGGGAGGGGCGGAGTTTAGTACTGCACGTTTCAGGGAAAGGGATTCCTCGTCGGAAATAATCGAAACCGAACGTAATTGTGACGGAGGGGAGGGGGGGGGATTAAGGTCCCTCGCTGCAACTGTCCTTGTTTTTAATGGCATCGGAAGCGAGAAAATGCATGTCAAGAATGCGTTGCGTTAATACGTTCAAATAAAAAGATACACTCACACAATGACATTTGTGATCGATTTGGTACACTTGTAAAATTGTCCGTGTATTTTTCTTTAACTCGACAATCGATGAACAGCCGCAAAATTAATTTGACACGGGACCGTTCATCTTAACCTCTTCTTTTCCCTCTTTTCTCGTGGTTTTGTCAATGTTAATTTTACGACTATTTATTTGCTAGTTTGAGTGAAAGAAAAGTGCACGGACGATTTTACAAGCGTACCGAATCGATCGCAAATGTCATTTTGCGAGTGCATCTTTTTATTTGAACGTATAACGCGAGAATTCCTGACACGCGTTTACTCACTTCTGACGTCATCAAACAAAGACAGTCGCAGCGACTACCCAGGAGCCTTAACTTCCTGCGTGTATAGACGGCGCACGAAACAGGCCCTTAAGCCGCGAACGTAACATTTCCTCCACGGCTGAACAAACGCGAGGATTATTGTCGTCTATGTTTGTGACATGCAGGTATGCATTCCGTGACGTCAATTTCTCTTCGGCAAGACGGCGGAGAGGAGAGACGATTATCCGGCCGGCAATTTGACGGAGCTCGGCAGCGTACGCCGCAGCGTTCTGCGTTCTGCGGTCGGCGGTCGACCAATCGGTGAGCCCGGGAACTCGATACGACGGAAGTCAGGCGGCCAATGGGCGACCAACGAAGCGGATCGATCAGGATGGACGGTATAAAAAGCCGTTGCCCGGCGAGCGTCGCATCGTTAATCGTTCGATTATCGCCGAGGCAGGTTGTACGTGCGTTGATAGCGGAGGCTCCATCACTTGCTGCGTCTATCGACCGCTCTCCTTCTTCGTCGAAGCGTTATCCGTTAGGAATAAAGAGGCAAAATGGTGAGTGGTTCGTCCAAGTTGAGAAGTGAACGATCAGGAAAGGATTCGGGGAGAACCGATGCGATGACAGACTGGCGGACGAAACTGTCGCGTCATGGACGCGCCGACCGGCCGGCTCCACCCTTTCTGTCGCTACGGATGACTCATCCTCTTTGAGGAGTTCGACTTGAAATTCGCGGAACAATCGTCGCGTGTCTCAGCGACTTCGTCGTGTCGTATCGATGTGTGATACCGCAGAATTTTTCACGTTCCTGTTATTCATGCGTTGACACATACTAGTATCCGAGTTAAAATGTTGGAGATTGGAATTTTTTTAATTTAAATGGAGGAAACTGGAATTTTACGAATCGAACGATCTCGATAGAGTTTCCAATTTGAAATTCGCAATCGCCGATACTCAATGTCTGCTTTCCCTTACGGAAATTTATTACCGCTGAGTTAGTGATAAGTTAATGATTAATTACTTATTTCGAATATTTACAGCATTGTTGTTATTAGTTCGCAATGATTCGAAATTATAAGGCTCGCAATGATCCCAAATATTGCAGTGCTTAAAGTTGCAGTGATTAAATATTATTATCTTATCATTAATGCTTGAACATTTTTACGAATCGAATAAATATGTCGATAAACGATCTCGATCGAGTCCCAATCTCAAATTTGCAATTTGTCGATATTCAATGTCTGGTTCCTTTTACAAAAATTTATTACTGCTAAGTTAGTGATAAGTTAGCGATTAATTACTTATTTTGAATATTTAAAACATTGTTAGTAATTCGTAATGACTCGAAATTATAGGGCTTGCAATGATTCCAAATATTTCAGTGCTTAAAGTTGCAGTGATTAAATATCTTATCATTAATACTTGAATACTTAAATACTAATGCTTAATAGTGCAGTAGTGATGAAATATATCTTTACAGAAATTTAGTACTGAGAATTATTGAATTTGTAGCGATAAACTATTGAGAAAGAAATGGAAATAAGTAGAGAGTGAGCATACGTAAAATAAGTGTTCCAGTAGATGAAGATCTAGGATGCCTGTCTGCTAACAAAATGATTCAGGGTTCGACAGGATGTCCTGAATCTGTATTTCTTCTCGTTTTTCCGTTCTCTTTTTTTTTTACTACTTGTATTATTAATATTAATTAAAAAAATACATTCCTTTTATGCATATAATTCGAAATATATTAATTAATATATTAATCAAGTATTGGCCAAATAATTACTGAAATATTGCTAGTATATTTGATCACTGCAAATTCCCTGGTAATTCTCAATAATAAATTTCTGTGAAAATTGAATAAATTATTGTGGAATTATTTCTGAACAGATTTCTGATCGGAGCAATAGTTACTCCTATTATTACTCAGTCGACACGTTTAACTATAGTTATATAATTTCAAACGTAACATTAACTTTATATCGATGTTATAATTTCGTACTATAATTTCGTATCCAACAATGTAATTGCAATATAGCATATATATCTGCATATATTACATACATATTTCTATATTATTATATGTACGTGTGCTATATTGCAGTCACATTCTCTCAGAAGTTACATTTCGTACGAATAATAAAACTATTGAACATCAGTAATTTATTACTGGCCAGTTGATCACAATTACAATTTTTGCTCGTTTTGTCCCAATTCCGGTCGAATTTCAGTCTTCAATTTTTCACCTCCAATATCTAGTTCGATACAGGCAACGCTTACTCACGTACACACATCTCATGAGAAACTAGGAATCTTCGTTACGCTCGACATTACACTGAAAACTTTTCGTTTCCAGCGTGAATGCATCTCAATCCACGTCGGTCAGGCCGGAGTGCAGATCGGGAATGCCTGTTGGGAGCTCTACTGCCTAGAGCATGGCATTCAGCCGGACGGTCAAATGCCGTCCGACAAAACCATCGGCGGCGGCGACGACAGTTTCAATACTTTCTTCAGCGAGACCGGAGCCGGCAAACACGTTCCTAGAGCGGTGTTCATCGACTTAGAGCCAACAGTAGTCGGTTCGTATCTCCTCGGTTTTTGATGTTTATCACAGACGCACAGAAGAGAGAGAGAGAGAGAGAGAGAGAGAATTGAACAACTCAAACAGCTAAACCCATGCAAACAGATTTCGAGCAGTCTGTTGCGAATTTTTGACGGCAGAAAGGTGACAAATCTAACACAGATTCTGTTCTATCGCATTACGTTGTCAAATAGCTGTCGCAGAAATGTGCTGACAGGCAATACGAGAGCAGATTGACGGGCAGAAACCGGGCGGAGCCTGTAGCGATCTGACGGCAGATTGAGAAAAACCGAGCATATTTTGCCGCGGTTTGGCAGCAGGTTCTGCAAGTTTCTGCCGCTAATCTGCTCGCATCATCCGTCAGCAGATTCTGTCGCCGAAACGCGAGCTGAATGCGGACACAGATGGTTATGGTTTCGGTAGTGGAATTCTGATGAAATTTGCTGCCGATCTGCACGCAGTCCGCGATCAATTCGCTCACTGGGAAGCGTCTGTGAATCTTCGACGCATCTATTTTTCCAGACGAGGTTCGTACCGGCACTTACCGCCAGTTGTTCCACCCCGAGCAACTGATCACGGGTAAGGAGGACGCCGCAAACAATTACGCCCGCGGCCACTACACGATCGGCAAGGAGATCGTCGACCTGGTCCTGGACCGCATCCGCAAGCTGGCCGATCAATGCACCGGTCTTCAAGGCTTCCTCATCTTCCACTCTTTCGGCGGCGGCACCGGCTCAGGCTTCACCTCCCTGCTGATGGAACGTCTGTCCGTGGACTACGGCAAGAAGTCCAAGCTGGAGTTCGCCATCTACCCGGCGCCTCAGGTCTCCACCGCGGTCGTCGAGCCGTACAACTCCATCCTGACGACGCACACCACCCTGGAACATTCCGACTGCGCCTTCATGGTCGACAACGAGGCCATCTACGACATCTGCCGTCGTAACTTGGACATCGAGCGGCCTACTTACACCAACCTCAACCGACTGATCGGACAGATCGTCTCCTCCATCACCGCCTCCCTGCGCTTCGACGGCGCCCTCAACGTCGACCTGACCGAGTTCCAGACCAATCTGGTGCCGTACCCGCGCATCCACTTCCCTCTGGTGACGTACGCGCCGGTCATCTCCGCGGAGAAGGCGTACCACGAGCAGCTGTCCGTCGCCGAGATCACCAACGCCTGCTTCGAGCCGGCCAACCAGATGGTAAAATGCGACCCGCGACACGGCAAGTACATGGCCTGCTGTATGCTCTACAGGGGCGACGTCGTGCCGAAAGACGTGAACGCAGCGATCGCGACCATCAAGACGAAACGCACCATCCAGTTCGTCGACTGGTGTCCGACCGGCTTCAAGGTCGGCATCAATTACCAGCCGCCGACCGTCGTGCCGGGCGGCGACCTCGCCAAAGTGCAGCGGGCCGTCTGCATGCTATCCAACACCACGGCGATCGCGGAGGCTTGGGCCCGACTTGACCACAAGTTCGACCTGATGTACGCCAAGAGGGCCTTCGTCCATTGGTACGTCGGCGAGGGTATGGAGGAGGGCGAGTTCTCGGAGGCGCGCGAGGACTTAGCCGCCCTCGAGAAGGACTACGAGGAAGTCGGTATGGATTCCGCGGAAGGCGAGGGCGAGGGAGCCGAGGAATATTAAGAGAGACACACCCCACGCTTCGTTCTCTTCATGTTTCGAAAGGTGTTTCCGTATCTCTTCTTTTCCCTCTCCTCTTTTCATTCATATAACAGCACACGAGTCTAAATAAACTATTTGATTTGCAAGTACGATGCGTGTTCTGAATTCACCGCACTCTCCTGTCTTAGCGGAGCTGTCGCCTGCTTAACGATTATTGGAAGATCCACTTTTTACGGATAGTTTCATCTCGACTTGTTCGTTGTTTTTGCGCTATTTAAAAATCATGATGATAAACGACTATAATAATGGTTTCCGTGAAGTGAATGTATGAATGATAGCGAAAATTAAAAAGGTAATTCAAATTTTTCGGGGAAAAAGACTGTAGAGCGTTACTTTAACGACGGTTTAAGTAACGAATCGGTAGCTCGTTATCGAACGTCGATTTTCCACTATCAGCCTATCTTTATCAGCCGATGTATTATCGCGATTAGAGTGGATCACTGGATTGCGCACACATGCGTGTACAAATGTTTTACGACGCGCATAAACGAGCTATGCATTCCCGAGCGGATCTGGTACGAGGATATATGGAGAGAAACGATGCGAGAGCGTGACCGATGGTATCAATCCGTAGGACTCCTCGAGCGGCAGAGGGGTAATCACTTGCGATGATCGTGCGAGAAATGCAATTTTCTTCTACGATCCGTTTCCTGCTCTGTCTCGTATAAACATGTCAAAAAGAAATATTATTCTCTTAACTATTAATTACAGCCATTCTTGCCTGTTGATTATGAAGTTGTTATCAACAACGCTATAGTAGTGTTTACCATAAAACGAATATTTATTTTATCGTACAATTGTTACACAGGGTCTGCCAAAAATTCAGGAACGGCTAATTATTTAAAAAAAATAATGATTTAAAAATAAATGTTTGGAACAAAAGTTGTAGGATTTAAAAACAAGCTATCAGACATTGATCATTGTTTGGCCTTGGAATGACCTTGAAAAGCGTCATTAAGGTCAACATAAAAATCTTAAATGGAACTCCCTATTTTTTGTTACATATTCTTATAGCTGACGTTGAGACGTTTCCGAAACACTGGTTATACACCTTTTTTCCATAAGAACTTTCCGAGTTATAAGGCTTGAAAGTTGCAATACCGCCGGCATTAGCATTACTCGAGGTGTACCGCGTGGAGATTGCACGGTTAGATTTACACTTCACGAAGTGGGACGCTGGCTTCACAAACACAATTTTCAAAAATGATGAGAACTTTTTCGAGTTTGAAAGTAATACGATGTAACAAAAATTTCTTTGATTTTAGACACATTTTTTTATATGTTCTTAGTTAAAATTAAAAAATAAACATTGCACGAAAGCCTTCAGATAATTTTCAGAAATAAGTTTAAATACGAAATACTTTTCAAACTCGAAAATAACCTTATAGTGTGAAAACTTCTCTGGTTTCAAATGTTTTTGATATGCTTTTAGATGCATTTATCATTACTGTTTATTCATGCAGACAGTGAGCTATCGAAAGTCTCTCCGAGCACCTTTTCTCTCCATCTCGACGTACGAACGTTCACAAGTGCAATCTCATTATTCAGCAACATGCGACGTGCATCATTGAGTATCGGTAACGCACTCTTTAAATAAAAGGGCGCGCGAAGAAAATAGAAAATTCCTCTCGAAAAGTGCCCTTGATATTGCCGCGCCGGATAACGCGCACAGTAACTAGTGTTTGCAGGCATCCAGATAAAATTATTTTGATAAAATAATCATGCAGATGAATTATAATAAAATAATCATCCAAATGAATAAGTAGTCATCTTTATCCAGATGAAAGAAATATCAAATATATTAATCTTCATGTTAGATAAAAAAAACATGTTATCTTATCTAAAAATTATCTGAAATAGTGTTGATTCATATTCTGAGTCCACTTTTCGATAAAATGAATGAAATAATATGAACCTATATATTAAGCCTATATCAGATTAGGAATTCAAAATTAGATTTCAACGAATCAACAAATCTCAGTTTTGTCTTTTTTAGTCTGTCCTTTTTAACTATACTGCTGAACTGGTGCAACTAAAAAAAATGGACCATTTGTTTCAATTGATCACCACTTTACCGTCGACTATGAGTGAGCAATCAATAATTGTTGGTCTTTTTTGTTAGATCCTTAATTTGGAACGATTACGTTGGCAAATTATTTAACCATTGTACAATTTTATAATTTACGTAATTTTTATGATAAATTTTTACAAAGTCTCATGAAAATATCGTCTAAAAAGTTATCTAGATAAGTAGCGCACTTTATCTCAGATTTCATCTAGACGATTCAAAAGCAAAATCATCTCATCTAAAGATGAATTTTTCGGATTTTCATCTCGTCTTCATTTAGATGAATTTGAAATCATTTAAAGAAAACTATAGCAACAACAAATATTAATCTTGACATCTTGTGTGTATAAATATCCTCCCTATAACACATATTTCGCGTTTATCGAGTCAATGTTGCGATTTGCGTTTTTCACAAAACGATCATTCATGAAATAGATTTATTCCGCGGTTTTTTCGCACGACGACGACAACGATTATCCGTCGTTTCTTTCACCGATGGCTACCGGCATTTCGAGGCAGGTGCATTGGGTAGGAGGTCGGTTTCAGGCTTCGATGATACATTCGCCGGTTCAGGAGGTATAAATGAAGGACAATGACCTAATTGCGCGCAGAACGTCTCGTGCTTCCTCGATGATCAATCAACAGGCGCGCGCGCGTCGATCCTCACTCGATTATTTGTAAGCGTATCACATCGGAATACTCTCCCCGCCCTCTTTCTGCTCTTCGGATCTTGGATATATATATATATATATATATATATACACGTACAAGAGAATCAAGAAACTTACCGAGCGACCGAAACCGGTGCAGTTTTGTATGTTGCGGTCGACGAAAGCGTGAGTCGCTATGAAGGTAAGTACATCACGAATAATTAGACAACATTCATCGAAAGCGCACATACCTGCACGGTTACATTCTAAATGTATTGCAAAAAACGAATCGGTTCCCGTGGTGTGCAAGTAGAACGAGTGAAACTAAGCAGAAAAATCATCTACCATTTTGTAAATAACACGCAAAATTTCGAGTTATCAATGATTAAAAATAGTTATGTACAGAAGCTTCTATAGTTAATAACTCAACAATTTGCGTTATTATTTACAAAATGGTGAGACTTTTTGTTCCGAATAGTCTTATATACAAATATATGACAACTATTGCACCTAACGATAAAAAAGGCCGAGGATTAAATTGTACACCTAATCCATGTATATATATTAGGTGTACAACTTAATCCTCGGCCTTTTTACATATATATATATATACACATGTTTTAATACTCTATGTATTCATAACATAATTGTGAATTCGTATAAAAACGACAAAGTGAGCATGCGAAATTACATTTAGGAACATGAAGATTTAAATTAGAAATAATTGTTTGACAATGGTATTCCCAGTAAATGTCAACTAATAGTAACGTTACATCAATATTATAACTTTCCACTCAACAATACAAGTATCCATACAGCACAAATATTTAAAAGACATGCCAGAGACGTCCCAGAGATATTCGAATATCTTCAAGATATCTTTTGAACATTTTTGCTGCACGGATGTAATATAATATATGTCGTGTGCGTTGTGCACGTTGTAACGTTTACATTGTTAAGTGAGAAATTATATTATCGATGTAACGTTGTTGTTCACCGAACAATTATTAATAATTAATACTCAATTCGGTTTTCGAATTAACACCGCGTCCTTCCTGGATTTTTTCCCGACTTCTTTCGCGAACATTTCAGTTTACTTCGGGATTTACGCGACTCTCGTTCAGCAAAATCGTCGTCTTGGGACTCCGCGTCTCGCACGTCTCACTCCACTTGCGATCGTGCGCGCGATCGCCGGTTTTCACCGATGATCAAGTTCAAGGACGAGGACATTTTGCGCGCGCGCGCGCGCGCTGCTTTCATCAGCGAAGCGCAGATCGCCGTTCGGGCAAACCGGGTTTTCTAATCCGTCCACGCGATCCGACAAAGCGACCATTTCCACGAGCGCCCGCGCGCGTTTCCTCCGCGACCTCGCTTCGAGCTGGTTAGACACGCTTTTCCCGCCGCTGATGTGGCACAGCGGCCCACATTCTGTTCGGCCCACTGACGACACACACACACACACACACACACCGGCAGATTCTCCGGCCGGTTATGGTCCGCGATCTACGCACGACGTCGACGTTTCGTTCGTTCGTCCGTTCGTTCGTTCGACGCTCGTTGACGTGGAAACATCGTCGTATCGCTCGCGATATGGGCGAGTGGAAACGGTAGAAGTCATTACCAGCGTCAGCTGGACGTGTCAATATGCGGTACCGTAAGGACGGCTTAATTCGTCGACCTCTGATTACGTTTCTGTAACTACCTACCACTTACTTCCTCGTACGAGTGCACCTGCTTCTTCTATCCGTACTTTAACATTCTTAAACGTTAACTTCAACTTTAGCTTCCTTAAGGATGAACCATTGCCAATTACATAATTACAGTTCAATCTCTAAATCTTTAGGATTGTCATCTCTCCAATTTTGGGTGACCTGATTTTCCTTTGTAAAGTAGTAAGAGAATTAATGAAATGCCCTTCACTGTTGAGGCTGGTCTCGATTAATATTCCCCGTCGAGCACTAAGAAACGATCCTCTCTTTTTTGTTAGATTCCATCGCACTCTTCACAATAGATCCGAATTCTTAAATAGATTAGCGATTCACGTGAACGATTTGGGTAGCAACATCGATTAGTCTTATGTCTTTGGCCACGTTTAGATGTTCTATCATAAAATCATTGCACATGGAAAATGTTATACTCCGGATTTTTATTGAGTATCTTATTACCAGAAGGACGTAATTCCCGTGAATAAATCTAAATGAAATGAATTCCGCACAACCCGGACCTAAACCTAAAACCGAAAACCGTATGGAAACCAGTATTTTTGTCGGACCGGAACCTTAAACAATACCGAAATGTAAAGCTTATGGGACCGGAATCGAAATCGGAACCATTAAATTTTTTTCAGTCTACGATTCTTGTCGGTTTATTA